GCTTGAGCCCAGGAGTCTGAGGTTGCTGTGAGCTAAGATGACGTCACGGCACTCTAGCCCGGGCAACACAGTGAGACTCTGTCTCAAAAAAAAAAAAAAAGAAAAAAAAATCATTCTCTCACCTGATCTACATCACAGGCAAGTCGAAGCAGCACAGGAAAAGTCCGCTTGTAGAGCTGGTACATGGGAGGGGTTCCCTGACCCCCTTCAGGCATTTGAGTGGCTTTGCCCAACATAAACATAACCAAGCTATGTAACAGTTCACAAGCTGCAACCTGAAATAGGCCAGGAGATCAATAAAGTTTAAGTTATCTATCATGTTGATGACAAAAGAAGAATATTTTGAAATATTACTCAATTTAGCTCTTTAAGAAGAAAAACTTTTATTGCAGGTAACCATCATATAACCCAAATATAAATGAACTAAAAATAGCACTTCTTATTCTATAAAATTAATGCTTCTGTTCACTTTAATCTTTAGCCAAGAGATAAGAATTGAAATTTAAGAGCTTCCGACATTGGTACTAATACATTCATAAGAAATACATTTCAATGCTGTCATCACAGAACTATATAACATTGCTTCATTTGTAGGCATATTTTCAACTACTACTTTTAGTAAAAATATTTCTGAAGCACTATGAAAATTTACAAATTAATAAAGGTATGCATTGTTTTACTGGCTTTGTTTTATTGCACTTCACAGATAATGGGGTTTCTTTTACAAGTTAAAAGTTTGCTGGCAAATCTGCATCAAGCTAGTCTATAAGCACCCTTTTCCCAACAGCATGTGCTCATTTAGTTAGCATTTTTTGAGCAATAAAATATTTTTTAATTAAGGTATGTACATTTTTTTAGACATAATGCTACTGCACATTTAACAGACTATAGTGTACAGTGTAAACGTAACATTTATAGGCACTGGAACACCAAAAAACTTATACGACTTGCTTTATTTTGATATTTGCTTTATTGCTGTGGTCTGGAACAGAACCCAAAATATCTCCGAGGTAGGCCTGCATTAAAATTTGAGATTATTTGTTTCTCATCTCCCAGGATTAAGGGGATAATTCAGCACAGACCAAATGTGACTTTTAAATGCCTTTCGTATTAATACTACACTTTCTATTACGAAGAGCTTTTGGTATATTAATGCTTTGCCAAGCTATTATCTATTAAGATAATTTATGCTTAACTTCCATTTATCAATAACACCTGCTTCATCAGTTTTCTAATTACTATATTACAGAAAATAAAAAATCAATGATATTGGAGTGGCTGAAATATGTTATCCATTTCCTAACCGATACACATTTTAAAAGCAATAGGCTCTAAATAATGAGTGAAATGAAAAATGAGAGTACTTTAGTCTGTCTGTCACTGGCTGAGAGCGCTAACTCTGTGACCCGAGGCAAGAACACATCCAGATAAATGACAGGCTTCATCTCTCTGAAGGGCACTGCAAAGCTGAGCCTCTTCTCTCTGTCCCAGGCCACACATTTCTTCATCATTTCATCTGAGGATGCAGCTGTTAAAAAAGAATTAAGAAAAATATGTTAACACTCAAAATCTTTCTAATTCTAATTGTTCTACCTCTCATTAAACCAGAGTGCTTTTATAATTTTAAGTGAAGCACTCATTCATCTTCCTTTTTTTTTTTTACTTCACACATGTAATTACAACATTAGAAATCACTAAAACACTATTTCTGAATTTAATTTAAAATAAAATCATTTTAAAGCAAGTCTAGCAGACTCAAATGTTTAATATCCAAACTCAGTGAGAGTTACTTAAGATATTTTGTGGAAAAATAGTAAATGAGCAATATTTTTATTAAAAATCTCCTGTTTCAAACACTTACTTTCCAAATACAAACTCTAACTTCTTAAATAACCAAAACTCACTAGTATATTTAACATCAAATTTCGAAAGTAAAAATACAGATGAACTTTTGCAAATCAAAAATGTTAATTCTAATGAAACCAATCTAAAAATACACAGATATTAAGAATATTGGATTTTAAAAAGATTAACTTTGAATTCCCCTGATCCAATGTCCATTATAAAAATGAGTGTTATCACTTCTCGGCCTTTTGGCTAAGATCAAGTGTAGAAATGAGTGTCAAATTAGGTTGTTTCAAAATGGAAAACATGAGTAACAAATCAAGCTACAACATTTTTTCTGATGGTATACTGAATCATTCCAATTGCACAGATACAGTCAAAGCATTTCAATAGGCAAAACAGTCTTTATAATCTTTTTTGAAAATATGTAAATCACATATAGGGGTAAACTATCACAATAGACTATGATCTATACATATCCAAATTAAAGTACAAATATGTCTATAGAGATCAATTTATTTTAAAGTTAAGGTTACCTGCCATGAGATTTTTGTTTATTTGTCCTCCTAGAGATCCAAGCATTTGTACTACTCTAATTCTTATTTCTTCTAAGGATAGTGCTTCATTCTGCAAATGTGAACAATTGTATAAATGTAATTACAAATGGGTTAAAAATTAAAGAGAAGAAGAGAAGGAAGAAAAACTATTTTACCACCCTCTCTACTGTTAATGTCTACTAGTGGTTAATTATATCCTATACAGTAGTGTTAATTTTACTACAAATTCAGGAGAGCCCCATCTCTTCCAATTTTGTAGTTAGATATCCTTTTCCTAGGCCAGTGGTTCCAAACTTTTTGGCAGGACCATTTATACTCTTAAGAAATATCAAGAGGCCGGGCACAGTGGCTCACACCTATAATCCTAGCACTCTGGGAGGCTGAGACAGGAGAATCACTGGAGCTCAGGAGTTGAAGACCAGCCTGAGCACGAGCAAGACCCCATCTCTACTAAAAATGGAAAAATTAGTCAGGCATCGTGGCATGTGCCTATAGTCCCAGCTACTCGGGAGACTGAGGCAGGAGGATCACTTGAGCCCAGGAGTTTGAGGTTGCTGTGAGCTAGGCTGACGCCATAGCACTCTAGCCCAGGCAACAGAGCAAGAGAGACTCTGTCTCAAAAAAAAAAAAAAAAAGAAAAAGAAATATCAAGGACCTCCAAAGAGATTTTATTTATTTATTTATTTTATGTGGGTTGTATTTATCAATATTAATCTTGTTAGAAATTTAAACTTAAAAATTACATAAAGTCATTATTTTATTTAAAAATACTAAACCCATTACATGTTAACAAATGGCATACTTTTATAAAAAGTAACTATATTTTCCAAACAAAACCCTCAGACGAGTGGCCCTGTTTCTCATCAGTGCAGATCCCTTTACAGTCTGGCTCACTAGTAGACAGGCATGGGGCTTGGGCCTCACACAGATGTGTAGCTGGAAGAGGGAAGAGCACTTAAATAGTCTTTTTAGGTAACTGTGGTTGTTCTTCCTTGATATCACACCAAAACTGAACCAGTGGCAGTTTCTTAAAGGTTAGTTACAATGCGGAATCTGAAATCTTACCAATGAACTTTATATACTCTACCATGTTAAAATCCATTTATCTTGCACTTTGAATGGATTTTTTACCCATGCATTTGGAAACATCATGTATTGCTCATCTGAAAATACTGGTTCAATGGATTATGCAGATCTTCCAAATGTTGACACTTTTCATTGTATATGCGAAAGAATCACATTTGTGAATATTACCACCAATAGCATCAGAAAAATCATTTAAGTATTGAGAGCTATCAATATGAAGGTTATAAGTTTTCCAAAATTTTAATTTTTGCTTAAAAGCTTGAATTTTACCATTAGCAATGGATGTTTTAGATGTTTTCCTTGAAGTGGCAGGCTCACTCTGTTCATTGTAGAGAAAATGCCTGCCAAAACCCAAGTCTGAGCAACCAGTACGTCTGTCAGTTATTATTTCAAGTAAAAATGGTGTCCATGAAAAAAGTGGCTACTTCAGCTCCCAGGTCAAAGCATCGCAAGCACTTTCCTCTAGACAGCTGTCACTCCACACGATGCCTCATCACACGGACTACAAAAAACACCTGTGCTCAGGATCAAACGTCAAGACAAGCTAAGGGCCCAGTGTTCCCATCATGACACCGTGATGAGAATGCCCACAGGGTAAAGGTAACTCTGGCCTTGCACCCTAAAGCCCCCAGGGCCCACACTTAGAGCACCATGGGCCCAGAGAATAGGCAGGCATTGTATATACATAAAGAAATTTTATTTATAAAACTAGAAATATGCTCAAGCAATTTTATCCTGCTAAAGTTATGTGATGAAACAATAAGATAATTTTAGACAACCATTTCTAGTTTTACTCAATTCTCTCAATCAAAAACTGACAAAAACAATGAGGTGGAAAGAGTTTACCCTGAGTTTGTATTACCAGTTTTAGACAGTAAAAGTTTTTCAAATTTTAATTTTTACTTCATACCCAAAATAGGTATTTTCCCTATTCTAACTTAATTTTTTCTATTTACATCATTTTTTCCTATTATGTCAGATGGCTCATCTCAAAAAAATTGGTCTCAAGAAATTATCACCAAAAAAAATCTGACATGAGTTAAAACTGATAAAATTATATATTTAAGATCTAATCAGTAAACAAAAGTCTTACATATCCATGATATCAGTGTTCTGATTTGCTTATTGAATAGGAACCATTTTACTTTTTATTATCCACTAAATCTGCGGTCTCCAACCCTGGGCCATGGCCCAGTACTAGTCTGTGGCCTGTTAAGAACTCAACTGTACATCACTGGCTAAGCTCCATGCCCACCTCTCCATACCACCCAGCAAAAATTGCCCCAAAGTTTCATCTGTATTTTACAGCCACTCCCCCATCACTGACATCATCACCACCTGAGCTCCACCTTCCTCCACCCACATTGAAACTGGTCAGTGGGGACCGCTGCACTAAATACATTTGAGGGAAGCTGACAAACAGGAAAGGAAGATTAAGACAATAAACCAATAGTTAACATAGTCTATATTTTCATTGCTAAAAATATATTGAAATTGTTTCTATATTGTACTCTTAATCTGTATGCAAAAATAACTAACATTTTAAATGAAGATTTTTACTTTTCCCAAGTGTTAGAATCTGATCTTTGTGTGCGTTATTTAAGGTAAAGAAAATTCAAAGGATTTCTTACTGATGAGATGTTCTTTGTCCTTTTCAGATGCTTTAACACAACTTTACTGAATCCCTTCTGGGCAGCCCGAGAAAGTGCTGACACTTCCCAGTTATTCTTGGTTTCATCTATCAATAATAAACAAAAATCAATCTTAAATAGCATTCATTCATTATTTGATAAATATCAGGGAGAACACATTATACTGTCAAATAGAAACATTAAAATTCTAATTTTAAATACGATTTAAAAAATTAAGTTTCTAGAACACAAAATATTAATAGTGGTTGTCTTGTTCTTAAACACCATTGTCTGCCAAAAGGAGGAAGGCTCCTCAGGGAAGGGCATGAACTCCAGGCATGGACAGACGCCCACTTCAGAGGAGAGCCTGAGTCACTCCATGGTGCAGGAGCCAGCACCCACGCCTTACGCACAAGCCACCTCTGGGACAATCTGAGCATTAAAATCAATCATGAAGGCAAAAGATTAGACCCATTGAAAAAAAAAAGAATCCTCAAGTCCCTAATAATATAGATAAATACACGGAGAGAAAGGGAACATTATTTTTTACAGTAGAATGTCAACTAGGATGAAGGAAATGATGGAGGTAGAAAAATCACCAGTTTGCAACTATCACAGTAATAACTGATTCAGGAGGAATTGTCAGTGGATACTGAAAGTATTATAATGAAAACTCAAAAAATATTTACAGTCTTAAAATAGCCCCCTATACATTACTTTTTTTGGAAGCAATCATAAATTTATAGAAAATTTGGAAGTTTACTACCAGATTTCTTTCCTGAAGCACTGAAGGTAAGTCACCAACCTGACGCCCACACCCCAGCGCTGCTTCACTGTGTGTTCCCCACAACAAGGACACTCTCCCACGTAACAGCCACACAACCGTCCACATGAGGACACTGAGACAGTTGCGACCTTTACTCCTTTGGTTTAGAACTACACATTGCATTTCATTGACCCGTCTCTTTAGCCTCATTTAGACAAAAGCCATTCCTTGGTATTTCCTTGAATTTCACAATTTGGACATTTAAAAAATTATATGCCAGTAATTTTAAACACTGTCCCTCCGTTTGGATTTGTCTAATGTTTTCTCGTGATTAGATGCAGGTTATGGGAATCAGCTGTAACTCATTCTACTTCCCTTATTAACTGCTGCATTAAATAAAATCTGTGGCATGTGAACCTTTTATATCTGAGTAGTCATAATTTAACATCTACTAATATCAAGCAACTTTTCAACAGTCCTGAGATGCCCAGTGCAGACCAGGCGAGCTGTACTGCTGGAGGGCTCCTCAGCGTGACGTATTCCAGCACGCTTTCTCCTGGCACCAGAATGAGTCCTGACAGCACTGGGACCTTCCCTCTGCTTCTCTCGGCTCTCTTCCTTTCTATGATTTTGTGGTCCGTTTGGTGACCTTCTACCAGTAGATGTTAGAGATCTACTCTCTGATGGGCCACAGATGATAAGTGAATCTGGTTTTTAGTCTTTTTTTCTTTTTGAGCTCAAGTAAGAATTTTGAGTACACTGGGAAAAACAGCTCTTTGATTGCTGGACTGCTCCATGTTTGTGTCGCTCAGCTTTTGGCTCAAACTGCAGAAATAAAACTATAAGCTCTGTGTGTGCATCTATGTCTATAATTGAGAAAAGCCTGTATCTCTCATTTTGTGCACAATGTTCTCCTATATTTGCAGGGTATTGATAAATTAGATTATAAAGTATCTTAAAGGAGCTCTCGGCCAGGCGCGGTGGCTCACGCCTGTAATCCTAGCACTCTGGGAGGCCAAGGCAGGAGGATTGCCTGAGCTCAGGAGTTCAAGACCAGCCTGAGCAAGAGCGAGACCCTGTCTCTACTATAAATAGAAAGAAATTACCCAAACAACTAAAAATAGAAAAAAAAAAAAAATTAGCCAGGCACGGTGGCGCGTGACTGTAGTTCCAGCTACCCAGGAGACTGAGGCAGGAGGATCGCTTGAGCCCAGGAGTTTGAGGTTGCTGTGAGCTAGGGTGACACCATGGCACTCTAGCCCAGGCAACAGAGTGAGACTCTGTCTCAAAAAAAAAAAAAAAAAAAAAAAAGGAGCTCTCTTCTGATTTATACAAACATTTAAATGAATATTCCTAAAATTCTCTGAAAATAAGGAAATTCTACGTACAGTGCTTCAAATGTGCTAGACGAATCTTATAGAAAGTAACTCAGGAGCATTTCAGGAATCCATATTCACATCATTAAGGCACATCTTTGGTAAGTAGACAAGTTTAATAATTTTGGTTTTATCGCTTCTTGGCTAAGACCAAGTATAAATAAAAAACATGTCTTATCTATTTCTATTAAGTACAAAACAAACATACATTTTATTCTATAATACTTGGGTTTGTTTTTCCTATAGTCATTCAGGCTTACTAAGCAAATAAGCTAACATTACTTCTCATAACATTTTTTTAATTGTGTTATAACAAACATATCATAAAAAGTACTCTTTTAGCCATTTTTTAAGCCATTTTAATTGAATGGATTAATTACATTCACAATGTTGTGTAACCATCTCCACCATCCACCTCCAGAACTTTTCAACATTCCAGAGAGTCCTATACAACTTTTAAGATTATGAAAAATGTAGTAAGTTTATGTTCAACTAAATTGAATCATTATTTATTTGGACAAACTTCCTATTTCCCCAGACATGTTTTGTAGCATGTCAGCGGAAAGATAATTTCTAAGATCTTTAGGTAATTTGAAACCTTGGACTAAGTTAGTTAACAGATAATCAGACACCTTGATAACTTCTAAGTAAAAAAATACTGAAATATTGATCACAAGGCATAATTTATAAGTTTATATGCTTTTGCTTCTTATTTCTACAGGCTATCAGAGGCTGGAGCTCTGGGTAATGTTAATGAGTATGTGCTTGCTGTCCCCTGGAGGGGGCTGCAGAAGGTGACACCGTGTGAGCTCCAAGAGCCTGATACACTGCTGGTGTGCAGCAGGCAGTTCTCCACTATCCAGCCCAGTTTTCCTGGTGAAACAGAAGTTAGTTTGGTAGCAAGCTGCATTAGTCTGTTCTGCACTGCTATAAAGAAATGAGGCTGGGTAACTTGGACGGGCCAAATATCCAAACCATATTCTAAGTTACATAGATAAGGAGCAGCTGCAGCTATACTAGAAACAGTAGTGCAGAACCACAATCATGTGCGTGCTTTTGATTTTTAAGGAAAGAGAGTAGCTCTTTCTAAAGCAGTAGTCTCAGGCTTTTTGGTGTCTGGACCTCTTTCCACGATTGGGACTTACCCCACGGATCTTTGTTTTGTGGGTTAGAACTAATATTAACAGTAGGTTCCATACTGGAAGAAGAAACAATGCTTTTAAAGACTTGATGATTTATTTGGAACTGTTAACATGAATAATATCTCAGTATTACCATGAAAATAGTTTTGATCTCACAGACTTCCTGAGAGAGAAGTGCAGTTTTAAAGTTGGTTCAGTTTGCTCCAGAATGTGAAAGGATATAATAAAAGGACCAAGCTTGGAAAGTGAACATCTGAGCCTGAAAAGCAGCTATGAAATGAGTTAAGTTTTCAGCAAAGCCATTCAATCTTGAAGCATTTGTTTCTTCAGTTTACTGATCAAGGCCTTTGCCTACACTATGAAAAGTCACTCTTTACTTACCATGTAATCTGCCAAGATAGCAAAGATTCAGTGTCTTACCAGAAGAATTTACCGAGCTTTATGTTGACTTCATGGTCTGAAAAAGCAGATCCAGGCTGTGTGTCTTTGGCAGGAGAGGTGCAGAGCAGTGCTGCATTCCCCTCAGCAAGCCACGTCGGGAGGCGTGTGGCCCACGGGTCCCAGTGCTGGCCAAGCTGTCTCCACTGTAAAGTCACTATTTTTGCCCTTGTGATTAATATGTGTTTTGGGTGAGGTACTTTAAAACCATATATGGCAGACAGAATTTTGTTGTTATTGTTGAGACAGAGTCTCGCTCTGTTGCCAAGGCTAGAGTGCAGTAGCATCAGCCTAGCTCACAGCAACTCCTGGGCTCAAGTGATCCCCGTCACAGCCTCCCAAGTAGCTGGGACTACAGGTGCATGCCCCCACTCCTGGCTAATTTTTTCTATTTTTAGTAGAGACAGGGTCTCACTCTTGCTCAGGCTGATCTCGAACTCTGTAGCTCAAGCGATCCTCCCTCCGCGGCCTCCCAGAGTGCTAGGATTACAGGTGTTGAGCCACCATGCCCAGCCAGCAGGCAGAACTTGAAGATGGCCCCATGACCTGCCCCCCTGGAGTTCCTCCTATAACTGCATGTCAATGACAAAGGGAGATTATCCTCATGGGCCTAATCTAATCACACAAGCCCCTTCAGAGCAGTTTCCTCTGTCTGGCAGAAGTCAAAGAGACAGGATTCCAAGTTCGGCGGCTGGCTGTGAAAGTGCAGAGGCCACATGCGAGGATCCAGAGGGGCCTCTAGGAGCTGAGCATCACCCCAGCCAACAGTCAGCAAGGAAACAGGAACCTCCGTCCTCCCCCTCTGTGGACTGAATCCTGCCAATAACACGAATGAGCCTGGAGATAGATTCTCGCCCAGAGTTTCCAGGTAAGAGTTTGGCCTGGCCAACATGCCCGTTTCAGCCTTAGGAGACCCTGAACAGAGCACCCAGCTGACCCACCTGGACTTCTGACCAACAGAACTATAAAATAATAAACAGGTGCTATTTTAGGCTAAGTTTTTGGTAACTTATTACGCAGCAATAGAAAACATTAAGAAAGTTTCAACTTACTCATTTTATCAATACTTATTTATATCCACACATGCTCACTGCTTCCTATTTGATTCAATGGATTACAATCTGTTTCTAGAATTATTTATTTTGATGCTCAAATTATCCCCAACTTTGCCTGTGACATTTCCCCCACCATTCTTTAAATAATTTCCTGTTTTCTGGATGCTCCAGAAAACACAATATTCTAGGTTTATGGTGTATATTTCCAGTCCCAGGCTTGAACCAAGGAGTCCAGGTTCCTTTTAATGGAAAATGACACTTGGAAGCCACGACCTGGGCACCAGGTTTGCTCATTAGTATTAAGGTACCACACTCCCAGGCAGGCCTTTAGGGGACAGAACTAGAATATATACGCATGTGTTACACACAAGCCCAGTCTCGTGTCTATTTCTATGTTTATTTATAGGCATCCATATATGTATGCACATATGTAATGAGGGGGCAGAGAGAGGGAGGACAGTGAGTTCACACTGACGCATCCACTTCCAATCCAACTTCGCAGGTTTCAATTCAGTTCTTTATGAACTTGTAGCTCCCTTTGATAGTGAGAAACCCAGCTTTCATTATGCTCAGTGTATTTATTTATTTGTGCAATCCCCAATATGTAGCCAAATTACTACTCTATCACCCTCTTCATCCTGCCTGGACCCCAACCCACATGGCTGTCCCAACACATGGGTGCTCCACCCTGCTTTGGCTCTGGCTCTGACCCCACCAGGCCGCCCCTTGGGGGACGCACCTTCACGATCCTTGGGAGCACCACGACCCTCCCCTTCCCAGAGCTCACCTTCCTCTGCACCACTTGACACCTCAGGACTGATCAGTTCAGGAAGCCGAGAGGGACAGGGCCTAAAATTACTAACTCACACAGAGGGAAAAATAGTAGCCTCACAATTACGAAAAGATAGTGCAGATGCATGCCAACCACATGGTCAGCATGAGCGTGACCGGCAATGGTGCCACCTGCCATGAAGCACCCTGAAGAGCACCCAGCATCAGTTCTGAGCGTTTCTGCCAAAAGGGCATAGTCAGAATCTCATCATGAAGAAACATCACTGGAACCCACATTGAAGGACATTCTACAAAATAACTGGCCTGAAACGTTCACAAATATCAAGGTCATGAGAACTAAGAAAGGTTGAAGAACTATCCCACATTAAAGGAGGCTGAAGAGTTATGACAACTAAATGTAAAGCATGATCCTAGATTGGATTCTGGACCTGGAAAAATATAGCTAAAAAAGAAATTAATGGGACAACTGAAAAATCTACAAATGTACTGTAGACGATAAGAGTATGTATCCATATCATTTTCCTGATTTTGATAATGATACTGCGGTTATGTAAAAGAATGTCCCCACTCTTAAGAAATACACAATGAAGTATGTAGGTGTAAGGATTCATGACGCCTGCAGCTTACTCACAAAGGGTTCAGAAAAAAAGTCATGTATAAATATACATACACACATAGAATCACATAATATATAGAAAGTACATGCAATGACAACATAAATGACAGAAAATCTTAATAACTGGTGAATTTGGGTAGAGTACATAGGAGTTCTTTTCACTGTTAATGCAACTGTTCTAGAAGTTTGATACATCAAAAAGTTACTAAAAACTGTAGTCTTTAAAACGATGAATTTCATTTATCATCTAATTTTTCTTACTTTCTGCTTTTCCCTACTGTCAAATGACCTAGAGTATACGTATTTATCAACAGGCAAATCCTTTGCTCGAAACACAGTAATCTCTTTTATTAGTTTAAAACAAACAACACAAATCTTTTCAATGAGTTAGTTAAAAGAATTAATTCAAAAAGGGAAATAAAAGTACTACAAAGATATCTGCTATCAGAGATATATTCTTTTTTTTAAGTAATATATTTTTGGGGAACTACTCAAACAGCAGTACTCCTTACATAATGAGAATTTTAAAAGCCTAAGCTATAAAAGTTAACTAGTTTATAGTTTTTATCTCTAAAACATACTTGTTATTACCAAGATTTATGTAAAAATCTTCCAAAATGTTGACTTTCTTCATGAACTCTGCCTATGTCTTAAGGATATAACAAAAACCAGACACAGTGAATGAAATCTGTCACACAATTTTCATTAATGTTTCCAAGCCAACAAAATTTAAGCTTAACAATAAAATAATGACTTAGGGTAAAACTTCACAAATTAATACTTGATATCGACTTCGAAGAAAGAAAAGTTTAAATTCTGACAACTACTTCAGAGTCTTTCCCCCAGTTGAAACTTTCTTTTTGCTTACATCTGATGACAACATCCCCTTTCATCCCAGTTTAAGTAAATCTGTCCCCCTCACTATAAATAGTATTTTTTCTTGAATAGTAGTATTTTTGCCTGGCCAGATGGTTTTTTTCTTTTGATCTTTTCCCAAACCCATTTCTTCTATGACTTTTTTTCAATTCTTCTTAACTGGCTACCATCAGAGCTTCATCAGTTACATTTTAAAAACCAACAAAAATCAAGTGAAATTAAGTCAGAACACAAAATGACTATGGAATTTTCTGATGGTTTTAATTACTGATTGATTTATTCAACAAAAGTATTTTACAAGGCAGTGTATTAGGAGCCATAAGGGGTTCAAGATATTTACAATAGAGTCCTGTCCTTGAAAATTTTATAAATCCTAATAGAATATAAGTGAGTAAAATGAAAAATAGTTTTAATGTATCGATTATATTTCCTATCAGCCCAATTATATTGAGATGAATTGGAGAAATCACAAAAATACCAAACATATTTTGAGCATGTTGGGTTCAAATTTCAGAAGTTAAAAAATACAGTACTACTATAGTTATCACATTGCCAAGTTAATTATGATATACATCCCAATTCTTCTAAGCCTTACCTGAAAAGGCTGAAGTCTTCAGATATCCATCAAGACAGGGGAGAATGTCTTTATAATAAGGCTGAATTACACGTTTGTGGATATAAACTGTCCATTCTTCCAGAGCGTTCAGGCCTACTTCCGCCAACGGGGCATAGCTTAGGCCCAGTTTGAAGGCCATCTACATGTTAATACAAACAAGGTAAACTGAAATGCAGAAAATAATAAGATTTAAAGAAAACCACAGCAATTAACTGTGGTTTCTAACTACTATGTCTTTCTATTGTTGGAACACCACACACTGCTGGAGGGAAGAGGGTACAGTCCAGGTGATTATGAGGAAAACAAGCAGCACCAGTCTACATGGTTTGTAGTATACTGCAGACTCTCAACACACACAAGGTTTAATTCTCATCAGCCTCCAAGGGAAGCTCAGAGACACCACGTCAAGTGTCTCGAGTCCCAGAGCTAGTAAGTGGCAGTAGCAAAACTTGTGCCAGGTGTGCCTGCCAGTTAGGCACCTGCTGAGACTGCCGGGCAAGACCTCAGAATCTCCATTCTCTAGGAAACACAACACTGACCGGGAGACGGCTTTGCTTGCGACGATGCACCCACCTGCAATGCAGGAACATAGGCTCTGACATCAAGTTCAACGATGTCATGTGGCAGGGACAGAACAAAGGTCACACAGGAAGCCAAAAGTTCATCTTTGTATTGCTTCATTTTAACTGCTACCTTAACCAGAAAGAAGAAGAAAACAAGATTGTGTACCTGAATAGAGCCTACAATTTGAAAATCAATTAAAAATTATTTGCCCCATTTTCAAATACAAAAAATGGGCATGTAGCCTATTTGACATGACTGCATTCACTTACAAATTAAGCACTGACCTCTAGAAAAAGTTAATTTGTTGAAGTACTTTATTCCCACTATACGGAAAAACCAAAGAATTTATTTAATTTTGAGTTGTCATCACTCAATTGAATTATTTTAAGAAAATTCAAGGGACTTTTGAAGCACAATAATCTCCTGTTAGTTTTTTTAAGACTTCATTCCCAATCTAGACTTAGCAAACCAATTTCCAAATCATTAAATCATTTATAATAGCAATTTTTTCAATAACATTCATTTAAAAGGAGCCCATGATAACACTAAGATAAATCATTTAAAAATTACCTCTTTACCAAATTTTGCAAATAAAGCAAAGCAAGCATACTTTTCTGGGTCCTTAGGAGACTGTTTCAAACTCTTTGGACTAACTCCCTGTCAAATAAAATAGCAAATTAGTACACTGAGCAAGAGTCAGATGATTCTGTAACCTAATCCACCAGTTCCCAGTCTATTTTCGAAGGGATAAATCTATTTCACTTTACCAATGTCTAGAGCAGGGGGAAGGAGAATCGGCTGGGAGGATTCCACGGCAGAGGCCAGGCAGAATAGGGAGAGAAGAGGGAACGTGGACAACTGGTCAAAAGCCATGGTCACGGCTAAGTCCACTTTCCCCTTCCCATCTCACCCTCTAATTACCCAGGTGGGCTCCTCACATGACTGACTGGCACCACCAGGGTGCTAACCCAGTTGTTCTCCAACCTCACTGGGCACCAGGATCACCTGCAGCTTACGCACAGATGGCTGAGTCCCGCCCCTAGGATTTGTGATAAGGTTAAGTCTGAAGAAGGCCTGAGACTTCCCAAGTAATGCTCAACGCTGCTGATCCCAGAACCACACTTTGAGAAGCTCTGCTAATCCTACACAATTAGCCAGGTACTCGAAAATCAGGGTGGAAAATGCCACTAACTTTTTTAAGAGTGTCATCCAACTGCCACTTACATTTAATTTTTAAAAATACATAAAATAAAATTAGACTTTAAAACTGCATATGTCATAATCATGTATTTTATAATGCATTTATATATGCTCATACAACCCAAAAAAATATAGGAATATTCAATGTCCTCCAAAAAAAAACTCACCTCAAAATATTTTATTTTCTTGGCATTTCTCACTGCGATAGAGAGCAATTTGTAGAAACCACTGATGAGAGGCAACCGTACAGACTGCAGAACTAATTCATATGCAAATGAGTATACCCATGGTTCAAAAAATCCTACTTGTTTCTCAGGCAGAATCTCTCTGCAAAAACAAATTAAAGCTTAAGGTAGAAATTTTTATCATACTAATTTTTATTCAGCTTTATAATTATAAGGGACATAAATAATTACAGACAATTCCATTTATACAAAATTTTTAGGTATATCTATATTCCATTTTTCTCTACCTGAAGATCTTTTAAACATTAAAAAAAACTCTATACTGGTAGATTTAGATATATTTTAAAGGTCTATATAAGTGATTTTATCTTTTACTATTAATATTTCATTTCTTATATTTATATAAGGGTATTTCCTATATTATAGCCCAAAACTAATAATTTTCACTCTTAAATAATTAGGATTTTACAAAATACCTGCAAAATTCCACCAGGTTTATGAAAGCTGAAAAATCTTTAGGTCTAGCAGGACGCAAGTTTGCAGCTGGATCTGAAGTTGGGATCACTAAAACACCAGCAGCTTCATCTCCATCCTTAAAAATTAATTGTATCAAACAAACATTGTACCATTCAATCATGAATCATTCAAGAAATAACTTTCCAACTGACTTCATGGTCAAGGCCTGATGCTATCATGAAACATACAAAATGAGAAAGACAAGAGACAGGTTCTCAAGGGCTCGCAGTTTGGTAAGAAGGATGAGACTTACAGGAAGTGATGAAAGATTGGGACAAATACAAAAATATCAGGGGTAACACTTCTTGAAGGAGCTAGCAGTAATGCCATAACAGAGGTAGAATTTCAAAAAGTGACTTGGCAAGTTCAAGCTGAGAAAGAGAGGAATAATTAACAGCAATAAGACAAATGAAAAATATGATTTGGGGGGCAGTATATGAAGTTCAGTTTTTTATTTCATTTTGTTTTTAATTTTAGAGACAGGTCTTGCTCTGTCACCTAGGCTAGAGTAGCATGATCACAGCTCACTATAACCTTGAACTCCTGGTCTCAAGCAATCCCTCCGCTTCAGTCTCCCGAGTAACTGGGACTATAGGTACAAGCCACCACAACCGGCTAATTTTTCTATTTTTTGTAAAGACAAGGTCTCACTATGTTGCCCAGGCTGGTCTCAAACTCCCAGCCTCAAATGATTGATCCTCCTGCCTCCCAAAATGCTGGAGTTATAGGCGTAAGCCACTAACCCCAGCCTGAAGTTCAATCTTAAACATATTAAGTTTGTTCACCAAATCTGTGTTATCAAATAGAATCGTGTATTCAAATTCGAATGCTGAACAATACAGGAGGATGAGGCTGGAGACCAGGTCTATTTGGGAAGTGATAACAGAGGAATAGCTGACCTACTGGAAGGAAGCAAGAAGGGCAGGGAACAGAGGAGAAAGGGAAGCCACTGAAGACAAAAAGGATGATAGACACATTTTCTAAAATGTAGGTCTGTTGACTGACATAATTCCAGGAAGTTTCAACAAGTACCTTTTGGTAAGTTTTATTTTAAATGAAATTATTTTAGATATACACAAAGCCTAGAAAGCAATAAAACACATACAGTGTTCCTATCACCCAGCATAAAAAAATAGAACATTACAAGTGCAATAAAGCCAGCGTGGCCATAGCCTTGTTCTGTTTCCTTTCTTTATCCTCTGCATATCCTCCCCATCATCTCCTCTAACTTCACAGGATTGTAGTGGAAGTACATACACACAAATTCTAATGAGTACAATCTAGTCTGAAAAAAATCACTGTGTTTGAAAGCAAGCTAGACATTTTCCAGTGGAACTCAGGCCTTTCCCAGGATCCTCGATACCACGGCATCTGGTTCCTATAAACTCCTCAGACAATAGGGCAGCTCCTAGCTGGCAACTTTAAGCCATGACTTACCTTTTTACCCAGGCTAGGAAAACTGGGTACAGAAAAAAGAGGGCACTTTCTTGTTTCTCTGCCTATTATCTATATTCTACTACCTTGAAAACACATTTGACACTTTATACCTCAATTTGGAGTTTCCTTAACTTTAAACAAGAAGAATCCCAATCTTCCCTATCATACTGCAAAAATCACTTCTATGCAAAATAAGATGTACATCACTCTTCACTATTGCTAACAAATGAGAAATAAACAAGCCTAGTAAACAACTTTTTCAAAAAAATTGTTTTAACATATTAAACATATAAATTACTTTTAGAACAATCCAGTGATAACATTTTCTACATATTAGGCACATCCAATAGAAAAGTATCAATGGCACATAATTCTGAAGAAACCAACTTTCGGCCAGGTGCGGTGGCTCACGCCTGTAATCCTAGCTCTCTGGGAGGCCGAGGCGGGCGGATTGTTTGAGCTCAGGAGTTTGAAACCAGCCTGAGCAAGAGCGAGACCCCGTCTCTACTAAAAATAGAAAGAAATTAATTGGACAACTAAAAATATATAGAAAAAATTAGCCAGACATGGTGGTGCATGCCTGTAGTCCCAGCTACTTGGGAGGCTGAGGCAGAAGGATCGCTTGAGCCCAGGAGTCTGAGGTTGCTGTGAACTAGGCTGACGCCGCGGCACTCACTCTAGCCAGGGCAACAGAGTGACACTCTTGTCTCAAAAAAAAAAAAAAAAAAAGAAACCAACTTTCTTCAGTCCCCTACAAATGTGCTACTATCCACTGAATATTTACATGCAAAGAGAGTTGGTATAAAAATGATGTAAAATTATTGACAAAAACTTCTAACCTCTTGTTCCCCAACCATCTGTGTTTCTAGTGTAAGATCCAATTTCTCGACAATCTTCAAAACAGATTTTATGAATTCATTATACAGTAAACGGTTCAGACTTTGAAGGGAGGAATTCACAAAGAAAAATGCTTCATCTGCTATGATAGAATCCTTTAAATAAAGAAAAATAATAAACTTCAAAATCGTGTGCAAAAAAGTATTAGTATATTTTATCAGCATTAATATACACACACACACACAGACATACGTGTATATTTATATATTATGGAAACAGTGATGTATAAACTGTAGCAGACTTATCTGGAAGTTTTCAAGCTACAAAATTTAGATACCTTCCTAACATATGACACAAAATACCTGCAAAATTCCACCAGGTTTATGA